ATAATATGGACAGTATTATGAAAGAAAGAGTCTTATTGAACATTTTCTTACATGTTATTAATTATTGAATATGATAGGTATTTAAAACTAATCGCATAGCGGGTAGGCATTTGCCTTGCACGCGGCCGAGATGGCCGAGCCTGGTTCAATTCCTCTTCCCCTCTTGGAGAGCCCGGCAAGCTACCGAGAGTATCTCGCCCACGGCAAAGCCTGGCAAGCTCCCTGTGACATATTAAAAATGCCAAAAACAGTAACAACAAGTCTCACAATTTGTTGTGAGACGTTACTTACTGGTGTCCGCTCGAGTGAATCGATGAACAACGGGAGGACAGTATTAGTCATAATATACTAAAGACAGCTTTTGGGAATTGAATGGAATTATTAGGTAATACTTTGTGGGTGACAAATACCTGCATGAATGTTCTATTTGGGCTTGGAAAAACTAGAAAATATATTATAGGGGGGAGCAATTGCATTTCAAAGTAATTTTCTCTATTAAGAAACTATTCTAATAAAAAACTAGATTGAAGCCTTTGGTATATTACAATGAAATGTGTTCAAGACAGAAGCTTTAAGATAGAAACCTTTGGCAATTAATTAAGTTTAAAGTGGAAGATTTTATATAATTCACGGTATCAAGAAAAATTTAAAAAATAGGAAAAACATAGAAACACAATTCTTCTTTAGTATTTCCATTTTTCACAGACTACGAGATAAATTTATCACAAGATGACTCTGGAAATATGAGCAAAAGTAGAAAGTAGTCTAAATATAAACCCAGAGAAGCATTTTCAAAGCCTTAAATGGCAATTCTTTTGCTAGTCTAGTGTAATCGAAATGCATATAGGATTTAGAGTCAGTTATAGATTCAAATCCCAATTTTCCCACTGACTGAATACGATCTCAGACTCTTTGCTTCACCTTTCTAAACCTCTGGCAGCTACACAGTCAAGAATACTTATCAGGAGAGCAAGTGCAGCAGGTAAAGAGTTGCCTTACATGTGACGGACCTGGGTTCAATCCCTGGCATTGCATATGGTTCCTTGATCACATCAGGGGTGATCCTTGAGGACAGAGCCAAGAATAAGCCTTGTGCACCTTCATGTGTGGCCCCAAAACATACAAACAAATTCCCCACAATTATCATATATACGGTTGTTATGGGTCTGGAGTGACAGCACAGTGGGTAGGGCATTTTCCTTGCACATGGCTGACCCAGGTTCGATTCCTCTGCCCCTCTCAGAGAGTCCAGCAAGCTGCCACGAATATCTCGCCTGCACGGCAGAGCCTGGCAAGCTCCCCGTGGCGTATTCTTTATGCCAAAAACAGTAACAACAAGTCTCACAATAGAGATGTTACTGGTGCCCGCTCGAGTAAATCCATGAACAACGGGAGGACAGTGCTACAGTGCTACAGTTGTTAGGAAGGGAAAATAAGATTAACAAGATGATGCATATTAAATGTTTAGTACAATGCCTTACAGTTCAAAATGTGTATGTGATATTGATACTAGATAATTATAATTACTTCTGGCATTACTATAATATGCTGTTCTAGTAATATGCTGGATTTAATCAGAAGACCTATATTTGAACTGACTCAGCAATAGCAAGGATTACTACTTTCTCATCTATAAATAGACATAAATGGCAATATCTGCTTTGCCTAAACGACAAGATTGTGGGAAGTTATAAATGTAATGAATATGCAAATTATAAAGTATTAAACTTTATAAAGCTATTTCCCATTCCTCAAGTGCATACCCAAGGAACTTATACAGAGAGTCATTCATCAGCTCTTAATACACCATAAATATACTACTATTCACTAGTAGTAGAATCACAAAAGTGAGATGCAGGCTAAAAAGTATAAGTACAGATAAAGTTTTTCAGTACTTCATTAAGTGTTTCCTTCTTTACAATAACATGGGGTTTTTCTGCTTTGATGGCTAATTTTGTAAATGCAAGAATTATATAATCCACTTAGATTTGAATACTTAATCCTCTACTATGAAAATATGAACATACTATTTCCACTTTAAATCATGCAGTGGAGATTTAAAATGTATTCAGAGTATCTCTCTATGAAGATTAACATGTCAGTATATACATACTGGAGCAGCTGTGGAGGGAAGTTGACACTGGTGGTGGGATTGGTCTTGAAATACTATATGCCTAAAACCCAACTATCAATGATTTTGCAGATCACATTTCTTTAATTTAAAAAAAGAGAGGAAAGAGGTGGGAATAAGGAAAAAGAAAAGAAGAAAGAATCACAAAAGTGAGATGCAGGTAGGGAAGACTCAAAACTCCCTAAATTGTTGGACTTCGTTCTGTTGATTCTGGACAATGTCAAGAGTTAATTTCACAGTTTGCACTTGGTTTGTCAGAAGTCATGCTTACAAGGTTACAGAGTGTTGCTCAAGTAAGAAATCTGAGCAATTCAGTACTGGATACACTGATCAGAGGCCAGTGGAATTTATAACTCCAATTTTCACTATGCCTATTCCTGGTCATGAGCCAAAGATAAATGTATTTATCTTCAACATGTAGAAGGAAAGGGAAAGAATTTAAATAGCTGCTCCACCTGGTGATTTTAAGAGCAAAGACCTAGTTTAGAGAAAAAGCAGATGGAGGAAATTATGACAAGTGAATTCAGAATGTTTTATTACTGCTCATAATTAGTTTATATATTATTCCTTGTTGACTTCTATGTTCCCAATTTATCCTTCACTCTGAAATTTCAGATCATGAACAGGATGCCACAGAATGAACACTATTGCCAATGCTATTTATTTTTGGTTGATCTTTGGGCCACACCTGGTGGTTGTAGGGGCTTACTCTTGGCTTTGCACTCAGGGATCACTCTTGATGGTGCTCGGGGGACCGTATGAGGTGTGAGGCATCGGATCTAAGTCAGCCATGTAGCAGGCAAGTGCTTTACATGCTGTCTTATTTCCCCAGCTCTACTGCCAATACTATTTATCCAAAGATTATGACAATGATTAGTTTAAAAAAATGAAATGGGTAATGATTTAGCATACAAATACGGCTTTTGATTTGATGGTCTTGATGATCAGAAAACAAAATAATTCAAGACATGTGCTTTATGAATTTCATTTCTATCTTCCCAATTACTTTTTACACAGTTCCACATATACTTAAAATAGAATAAAAAAATAATGTTTGATTTTTCTGAAATTATCAAATCATCTCTATTTGTGCTTATACTTGTGGTTATATAATTATAACTATATTTCTATAATTACATAAATAAATTTATATATGTGCATGCATATTTGTGTATGTGCACAAAGCTCCTTCAAGGGGGTAATGCAGGTAAGAATATATTGCAAAGGTTACATTCCTAAAGGAGTTCAAGTACAGGAGATATATTATCTGTGTTTGTTAAAAAGAAACCTTTAGTTAACCTTTTGAAAGCAGTTCCACAATCTGTTTATTCTCTCTGACTTTTGACATGAGGATGAGTGTTTATAAAAAAGACTGAATGAGGTTTTATTTGGAAAAAAATAAAATAGAACAAAAAGAATAAGGTCAAAGGAATACCCTGGATTCTGTAGTTCTGAAACAAATGAACACCAACCTTTAGAAAAGTTGTTAAAAAGAGAAAAAAAAATCCCCCTCAGCTGGGAAATGGGATGGATGTTCAAGCTTTCAGCTAGTTAAAGTTGTAAACACTGTGGGAGTGAAAAAAGCAGTAAAGAACAACTAGACCCTGTGAAGTTTCAACAAGAGGAGTGGGTGTATAACAAGTAATAAAAACGCAAGATATGGATACAAAAATAGAGAGGCATGTGTATCCACAGGAAATAAATCATGCAAGAGAGAGAGCTCATCTGCAGTCATGTGCAACGTGATCAAAATCAAATGGAGTTGTTTAACGAATGTGAAATGTCGTCTAAATGTTCTGTAACAATAATTATATGAAAATAAAATGAAGGAATAGAAGTGCCGAGTCCAGAATGTAAAGTCCGCGTGAAAAGCGCATGCCGGAAGCCAGCATGTCCCCTGGGGGTGAAGGAGCAGCCCCGGCAAAGTCTCGAGTGAGGGGAAGCGGTTCCAGCGGAGACTGCGCCCACCGGCAGCGAGCACGACTTCCCTGTCATCAGGCTGAATGGAAGAGCGAGTCTTGGAGTTGGGAGAAACACAGCCCAGCAAGGAGCAGCTCACTCAAAACTGGCACAGAGAGGAGAGCTTATGTCTTCCAGGGGCTCGAACACGAGCACCTTCTGCCTGTAGACAGAGCTGAAAAACCTCACTTCCAGCCTTGGCATCTGCCCTTTTTTCACTCCAGCTCTGACTGGTTGATCACTGTTTGCTTGGCTTTGCATTTTCATGCATTTAAAATTCTCAACATGGAGAGTGTAGCTCTTTTACAGAAAAGATGTTCATGTGATTTACTCATTTTGGTTAAAAAAAAACTATCTCACAGTGATCAGCAACAAAATAAAAATAACAATTAGGATTGCGTTTGCAGCTCCTTAGAAAAATGACTATATGTAAATAAAATGGAAACTGATACTTAAGATCATAAGTTTACATATTAGGAAAAAACGTTGAGGTCTTATCAATAAATCAAAATGGAGACTGTTTGGAGTAGGAAGAAATTGCAACTAAGCAACACTGGATTAATGATGACAAAGGAAAACAGCAAGAGAGAAAGAAAATTCCGAGACGACTGAGTGGCTATGAATACTTGGCCAGGTGTCCTAAGAGAAACCATCTACTAAATGATTTCAAGAAAAATATTTTCACAATAAAAGGAAATCTTACAGAACAGTCTGGATGAGATATGCTTTCATTCCACTTAAATATAAGACACCGAAGGTCTAAGAAGGTCAGGCTTAGGTGATTCAAAGATCCATAAATACCAAGAATCACTTCAAAGAGATGCAGAGAACTATTGTTGTCAACAAATTTGTTCACTTACTATTCTACATAATGTACTTTCAGGTTTGTATATTCAAATAAATTCCTTACTTGGGTGGACTCTCCATCTTTTCATGCTGTCCGTTGAAGTTCAAACTACAGAGGTTTTTGGATTTTGAATGTGAAGAATCTAATTCCACATTTTCCTGAGCCTGTACTCTCAGAGGGTAATGAAGTCGTGTCTCCTTTTTCAAGTTGATGTCAGAATACGGGCAGCCGAATGCACTGGGTTGTATAAAAATGAGAACAGAGTCATCAGTTCATAAATACAAATTAGGGATCTACATACATTGAAACAGATTTACATTCAGTATGCAAGCACTGGAGAGTGACAGACCCCTCTCACAATCACTTTTGCATGCTTGTCCTTTGATAAAGTTGTAGGTTTTGAAACAGAAACTTAAGAAAGACAAAGATGTTCCTGAGGGATGAAAGGCTCACATACAGCCTTGAATCAATGTTTGCTTCCTTCTAATATTTTGTTGTGGTTTGACTATATCAAAAATACTATGGATAAAGTCACAAAATATCATACTTTAATTTCTTAACATTCAGGTATATCCAGAAATACTGTATCAGGGGTTCTGCTTAAACATCCTGTACCTTCTTGTGAAGTTCTATAGAATGATGTGAAGGAAAAGGGGGCAACCAGGGGAAGGGTGAATCCCAACCCTGAGTATCGTTGGAGCAGCTCAGGGCAGAAGGACCTGCCAGTACCCTGATTTGGTTATTTAAACAGACCGATTCCTTGTCTGTTAGATTTCTGTGCCTGCATCTCTTCTCTGTCTTTAAGGAGGCTTGGAATATCCATTGCTGCTAGAAAAGTGGCAGTCACTGCTGGTGAAAGCACAAGTGTTCCAGGAGGCCACCTGCACTCAGGGCAGGGAAGACATTCTGTCAGTGTCACCTTCATTCTGGTGAAATGGGAAAGACCAGTTTAACACAGATGGGTTTTGCGGGGCCGTAAGAGGTCAGTCACACTCTACTAAGTGGGAGCTGCTATCATGATCTCAGCTCTCATCTGCCACATCCCCGGGAGGGCAGGCCAAAGACTCAGTGTCCCGGCAGTTGAACTTTTTCGGATTTGGTTTCTAATATTCTGTGAATTTGTTACAGCATGGTAAATAACAAAGCCTTTCTGAATATTTCTGAAAGTCTTCTTTGGCTGTTTTAAGGGCATACCAAATTCAGGGAACTTTGTTTTGTAGTTTTCTATTTTAAAGTCAACTGGTTTCTCCAGGGAGGGTCAGTAGACAATTGAACCTAAGAGGGATTTGAGTATGAATCTATATCTAGAATTAACTTTCTGGAATTTTGGATGGAGAAATTATGATGACACCAGTCTGTTTCCATAGGCAAGGGTACATCCAAGAGTACATCCATATTGGCTTCATGAGGATGAGCAGATGTGCTACAAGCAGGTACACAAGGGCTGTCATTTATGGTAATTGTCACTGGTTATTATTTTACTGATTTATTGAATATTAACTGAACATCTAAAACATATTTTATCTTAGAAAATATTTTTATTATGAAATTAAAACATTGAATATCTAATAAATGTTTTTACACTATGAATTTAAAAGCTATCAGTATTAAGTATATACCTATGGTTCATTATAGCTTAAAGTGTTTTACATTTCTTAGGCCTATGATTTACTAGAAAATGTCCTAAAATGCTATTGATGTGTTCATTTTACAGATAAGGGTCACACAGGACAAGCAATGTTTCCAAAGGTACTTGGCACTTTCTTGGGAAGTCCTGAAATTGATCGCTTATTAACAATAATGGAGGCAAAAGTGGAGAAAGGTTTTGAACACCATCAAAAATGAAAACCATTGTGTAAAGTTTGTGTAGAAAGGAATAGAAGAAAGATATTACAGGGCATAGCAGTTCTTGGTTTGCTAGCGTTAACGCCTAGGAAAAAACATGTCAGCATATACCAGGATACTGCTTAAGGAGCGAGATGTGGCAGGGCTGTTTCCAGTAACCACACAACAGGAGACATCTGTCTAAGTTGTATCATCCATGATTTAAGAGAGATTTTTTAAAAAACTTTCTGCAAATGAAAGTTGAAAGACATTAAACTAATATAAAGATGTTAATTCTCATGCACACTTCCACTGAAAGAGTTTTAATGAGGATTATGACACTGAATTTTCGTACTCTAATACCACTGCCCCTACATGATTCTTGCTGCATGACCCAGACAAATCTCCTCCTACGGTCCATTTTCCCAGAGCTGTAGACAACTAACACAGACACTCTTGCTAAGTACTTACTTAAGTTGAAAGACATTTTGTTTTCAACAGAGTCCATTCACAAAGCAATGTAATCACAAAGCATGTAATCATTTATTTGTTTATTAATTCTATTCCAGACCCTCTTTGCTCCTCTGGTACACAGGTATGAAAAACTAAACAGAATGTCCCAATGTCACTGGGATGGAAGGCTCCCTGATTCTTAAAAATAGGTTTATGAAAACATAACTCCAGGTCAAAATGAAGGGTGAAGTTCAAAAGAATAAAAGACAAAAGCACAACTGCAAGATATACTGTTAAGGAACATGAACTGATTATAGTTCCTGTTATTGTAACAGGAGATAAAAGAAAATGCGAAAGAAGTGAAGATATGAGGGACCTTGAAGATACAATTGTGCCAGTTTCAGTCTGAATTTGCTGTCAACAAGTTTCTGTATTTCATCACTAAGCTCTCTTACATCTGATGTAGAGAAATATTTGTGCTACAGAGGTAGCACCTGAAATTTTGGTTTTCCTTTTCATAAATGCCAACCCTTATTTTTGGATATATGCATCAGTGTGTGTGTGTGTGTGTGTGTGTGTGTGTGTGTGTGTGTGTGTATGTGCCATTTTGTGTGCTTAAGATAAGCATGATTCTGCATCAATCTCTACACAGAAAAAAATCAACTAAATTGGATGGAGAGATAATATACAATAGTCAGCCTGGGTTCAATGCCTAGCACTGCAATCCACAAACACCACCAGAAGTGATTCCTGAACACAGAGTCAGGAATAAGCTTTGAGTACCGCCAACTGTGGTCCAAGTATCTTCCCCAGTCTTCCCCCAACAACCCCCCCTCCCACACGTATCAATTAAAGTTGCTCTCTTAGGTACTATAAAGCAATTTAAAATTTACTTTTGTTTTAACCAAACAATGGGGCAAAAACAGTGATATAGACATAGTTTCTTTAAAAATGCTGACATAAACTAAAATTTCTATTAAAACTGCTGGTAAAGGTAAAGGATCAGTCTGAATAAATCAGAGGTGGTTTACTCAAATATCCCTTTTATGGACCAACATAATCAAGAGTGAGGGCTTGTAGGCTGAGAGGAAAGTACTAAGCAGCAGTGTTGCTGGTGAGTTCTGATGACTGATCACACCATTCCCCCAGACTCCTCAATTCCTTCTTAATGTATATTTCCTGCTCGCAGGAAAAAAAGAAAGAGATGGTAAGAAATACGAGGTTGTTCCACACAAATTATACTTTGTAAAATCCAGATAATCAAGTATCAGAAATTTCATGTGGTTCAACAGAATAAATTATTAAAAAAAAAAGTCAGTTCTAAACACATGAAAGGGCACTGTAGTAATAGCACTGTCCTCCTGTTGTTCATCGATTTGCTTGAGCAGGCCCAGTAACTTCTGCATCATGAGACTTGTTACTGTGTTTGGCATATGGAATACATCACGGGTAGCTTACCAGGCTTTGCCGTGTGGGCGAGATAACTCTCGGTAGCTTGCCTCATCTAAGCACATCAAAGGGCAGGCAGAATAATAGAAGGTGAACACTTAAGGAAAAGGCTGGCAGACAGCTGATAGAAATGAGCAGACTTACCTCAAGTGGAAGAAAACATGCAGTGATTGCAATTAAAAATACTAGGTTTTCTTTTTAGAATATTTGAGTATACTTGCAGAGGCACACCCAGTGGTGCTCAAGAGGTTACTCCTGGCATACAACTCAGGGGTTATTCCTGTCAGTTCCTGGGGGACCAAGGTTTGCTAGGGATCAAACTTGGGTTCTTGCATGCAAAGCAAGCATTCCAGTTCATTTAGCCCAAGTATGATTTTTAATGTATGAAAATAAATGAAAAGGTAAACTATATGAGAGTATTTTTCTAAAATTTTATCTTATAGTCTGTCCTTTTGGGCTGGAGCATAGCACAGCAGGTAGGGCGTTTGCCTTGAACGCGACTTACCCAAGTTCGATTCCTCTGCCTTCGATTCCTCCGGCCCTCTCGGAGAGCCTGGAAAGCTACCGAGAGTATCTCACCTGCAGGGCAAAGCCTGGCAAGCTACCCGTGATGTATTCAATATGCCAAACACAGTAACAAGTCTCACAATGTTACTGGGCCTGCTCGAGCAAATTAATGAACAACAGGATGACAGCGACAGTGACAGTCCGTCCTTTTAAAACCAGTATTATGGCTGTATAATAGTAGAGGGATGAAGCAACTTGCCTTTCACCCATTTGGTGGCCAACCCGGGGTCTATCCCAGCACCATATATGGTCCCCTGAGCACTGCTGAGGGTGGTTCTTGAGCACAGAGCACAGAATAAGTCCTGAGCACTCTGCCTGTTAGATCCCAAACAGAATCAAAGTTAAAAAGTAGGATAGAAGCATTATTGAATGCTGCTCTTCCTTAGTGTTACAATGAGGATAGCTATTGGGAGGAAGCACTATTGATTGCCAATGCTGGATAGTGCATCACTGAATTTTGTTTCCGACTCAACAAGGTCTTGGCCTTTCTGAATTCTTTCCTTCATGACAAGGGTTTCCACAGATTGGTGTAGATCTTGCAGCAACCAAGATCTGAGACAGGATGAAGCAGTTTCTGCACCTGTGCTGATCCATGCCCTCGGTTTTCTTCCCGAGTCATCATTCTCATGGACGACAGGTTTTCTTGCCTTCTGCTTTGACCCCTGTTCACATTTACTGCCCCAACTAAATTCAGAGGCTCTCCTGGGAAAAAAGCCCTTTGTTCCTACTTTATTCTTGCCATTCCTTTCCCTTGACAACCACTACCTCTGATTCCAACTCAGGAAGTTAGAATCCCTTCTCAGATATCACCTGGCCACTCTTGTGCGTTCTTCTGGTCATCTGCCCACTAACTGGAATCCCTTCCTGCATGTTGAATTTTTTCTACTGACACCAATTCCAAGTGTGTTTGTGTATGTGTGTGTGTGTGTGTGTGTGTGTAAAAT